CCCCTCCCCTGGTTCTTTTATTGGGATTGTGCTTAAAACTAGATTGAGTACAGGTCGTGCCTCACTACTGATTTTAAAATAAAATTGTTGTAAAGTTTATCATTTGAAAAATAGTGAATTACTTTTCATTATATTTAAACACTTTTGAGCTTTTTCTTCTGTTTTTAACCTCCATATTACTGACACCATGTTCGTGCGGGCATTGTCTGATTGATCAATCTGAGACACTATCCGTAAAGGTGAAACAGGTTTTGGCCTTTCTTGACCCCACCCATTTCTCTCCCTGTCTCCCACGTACGCCATACACAATTTTGTGTTAAGCCAGTAGCCAGACTTTACATTATCATGATCATGTAACTATCTTTCACATTTAGCAAATGTACCATAATTACATTTCATTTCTTGTACAACATTTTATCTTTCCTGGTTGTAATAATTGCCTCATTCTTTTTCTCAATTTCTCGAAGGAGACAATCAAAGGAGCTTCCCCAGAAGCTCTAAACCAAAGCTGGAACAATCTGAGCAATAGAATAAATAAAATAGTACTGGATTATAAGTAAAAAATAAATATGAGTCCATACTGATATAAGTAAATTATTGAATCCATAAATAAGTGGGAGAGAATAGACCAGTCTTCTGCCTAGAAGAGTTACGAATAATTCATGTGGCTACTCCCAACACAAGGAGGTGAAGCATAACTCACAGTGCAGTGAGTAGGGTGGGCACACGCCCTAAACATAACAAATCATTGCAACCAACTCCCTCATGGGGATTGGTGCAAGGCAAAGGAAGTAGACTGGTTGACTTGGAGAAGCTGATTCAATCAGAAACATGGAGAATCATGAATCTTGGAAAATAAAGACAACTGAAGGATCATTAATTTAACCGTCCATCCAAAGCTTGATACATGTGGCCAAGTGTTTGCTTGCATTTCTTTCCCAGGCAGTCCATTCTACTTCCACGCAGACCTAGTAGCTATTAGGGAAATGCAAGAGGAATTAACATTCACCAAGCTGCATCTATGTGCTAAGTACTGTGCTGGGTCTTCTTCACATATAATGCCAACCACAAATCTGTAAGGAGGTATTACCTTTTTGCACTTTACACATACAAAGAAAAGGGATTGGAAGACATTAAAAAGTTAACTCAAAATATAGCTCTTATTGCCTAGTGTTTTAGAGCTTATTTCAGGACCAGAATAGAGATTCCCTCAAATTGCCCTAAGGAGGAAGTGGCTCATGACAAGGGCACATGTGGTCTGGAATCAGTGCCCCCTTAGGAGACATCAAGGCATCACTTCCTCTGCTCTTCTCAGGGGTATCTCTTTCTGCCCCTCTTTGAAGCCCTGCCCTGACCAGCTTCCTCATGATGTCAGCTTTCTCATGGTCCATATCATATACCCTAGCCCCAAGCCGTCTTCACGACCCTCACTCAGTTCAGCTCTCTGAGTGCACTGACTCATTCTCTCAACCCTGAATTCCGGACTCCTGGGAAAGAACCTGAATC